ATGGCACGTACTCTTACCACAGACACCTCATTGTCCCCTCTTACGTTTTTCTTTTCTATTTTTGGTTTTTCAAACAGGGTTTCTCTGTGTAGCTCTGACTGTTCTGTAACTCACTCTATAGACCAGGCTGGCCTCAAACTGACAGAGATCCACCTGCCTCTGCCTCCCTGAGTGCTGAGATTAAAGGTGTGCGCTACCGCTGCCCAGTTTGTCCTACATATTTAAACCTCTCCATATCACCTAAAATACCTAACACACAGCAAATGCTATATAATTAGCTATACTGATTTGTTTATGGGATAGTGAATGTTGACAATTGACACACGTGTGTAGCACACACACACACACACACACACACACTAAATAACCTCTCCCTATATATTTGTATTGAAATAAGTCTAATATGAATGGTTCCTGACCTCTTATGATTGCGCTTGTTGCCAATCTTTCATTAGTCTTTTGCTTTCAGGCTTGATCAACTGCATTCTAATAGACTGAAGAACTGTAAGCTGCAGGGTGTTCAGTATACAAGCTGAGCAGAATGTTCAGTTTTAGTTGTTCTTGCTTGTTAGCTCATTTGGTGAATTTGGGTCTTTGCCCTACCAATGATTTGATTTGTTTTTCTGAAAAAAAAAAAAAACTGCTTCCTTTCTGATGATGGATTTGGTCAGGGAACCAGAATGCAGGACTTGGAAGGCACTAACTAATGCATTGCTCCCATAGACCGAGTTCTTGGGAATGAGAGGTTTAGCAAACTGAGGTGCACCCTTAACTATTTTGTAAAGTAATGTGTTAATAATTCAGCAATTCCGTAAGACTTTATTTGTTAGCTATAGAAGTCATTTGGAGTTTCCCATTGATCATTTCATGCCCAGGCGTTGGCTTCCCTGACCTGCCACAGTGGATGTTCTGTGATATACGTTTCTTTACTTCAAGTCACAATATTTTATCATTGTCAAAAGAGAATTTAGGAGTAATTTGGTGTCGCCCATCCAATTCTGCAGTGAAGGGCACAAATGGGAAATAAAAGATTCGAGACTTGATCCATGTCCACTGCCTCAATAAGATGATACCCTTCATATTAGGTTTTGCTATATAAAATTATTTTATTACCCCAAAGAACCAAACACTAGCTTTGCCACATGGTGAATTTAACATGGATTGAAATACATGGTCAATAATGATGTAGTTAAATGTCTCAGTGAAGTGAGGGAAATTAAACTTAAAAATCCTTTCGACTTCTGCTCAAGTGGATAAATATGCTACAGAGAGGTGGCTTCTTGTGTCATGCTTTCAATTTTCTTTGTTTGCATTGTAAACCTGGATATTTGAAGGCATGGTGCTTATGCGCCTGTAACTCTAGCTTGAGACAAGACGGAAGGGTGCACGTACAAAGACCATCTCACAGGCAGTCAGCCAACAGACCAATCAAATTGTGACTCCCTACAACCCCCCCCCCCGCACCCATTTCAGTGTAAGCATCCATGCTTCTAATTAATTGAAAATACATAGAACAGACCTAAATGCCAGTCAGGCAACTATATAACTACTGCTCACCCCTCCCCCATATTTACTGTGTTCCCTACTATGCTTTAATGTCTACTTTCAGGCTACATTGTTCATTTATATGCCCGACCTTACCCATGTGTGTTCATATGCTCATTAATGCTGGTAAAGATCATGTGACCAAAACCTGACGCCATCACATATGAGGAAACAGTTGCCTTCAAATAAGTTTAGAAGAGAGCACAGTCGGTGTAATCATGTGAGATAATGTGGCTAAGGAAGAACGAACTTCAAGTTTAAAGTTAATTTAAATGACAACAAAAATATTAACCTCGTGTTATTTATTTGATAGGTGCTTCGGATTCAGAACATTTTATCCGAAGAGCCCAAAGTAACTGTGGTTTATGCAGAAAACGGCACAGTGTTGCAAGGTACTACCGTTGCCTCTGTGTACAAAGGAAAACTGCTGGTCGGCACCGTGTACCACAGAGCTCTTTACTGTGATCTGTGACAAGCTGGCAGCATCCATGCCGTGGAAAATAAGCCCACCATCTCCATCCTTCCCCATGTCAAAGGCGCCTATCACAGTGCGCTCTGCTGCCTACTGGATGTTGACATTAAACTTAGAGATAAGAAGGTGGGAGAGTGTTTACTGGCGACAGATGTGAAAAGCAAGGATTTCTTTAGTTTGTCTTGGACTACTTAGAAGATCTCAGTTACTAATAGAAACTCTTCCACCAAAATGATTAAATTTGTCAAGTCTACATAATTTGTGCTATGTTTGAAATGTTCCGACAGGTTTGTATGCTGTATCTTTGGTCCTTAGCTGGGGGGTGGTATTTTTGGAGGGGTTGGCAACTTTAGGAGGTGGAACTCCACTGATGAAAATTTGTGTCAGGGAGGAATGTGCTCACAGATTATATCTGGCTGACTCTCTGCTCCTCTCGGCTTCCTGTCGGCTTGAAGGTGGGCTCTAACCAGGTTCCTGGTCTGAGCTGCCGTCTTATTGTAGGCCAAGAAAGAGTGGAGTCAGATGTGGACTGGGCCCTCCAAAATGAGCCAAAATAAGTTTTATCTCCTCTTAGTTATACCAGGCTATCTGTCAAGGCATCGGGAAAATCAGCAACACCTTGTATGTAACTCAAAACACATTTCCCCAGTAATATTCAAGATCCCTTAAAGCAGATGAGTGGACTTCTGCCTCACCGTTGTTGAGAAAACAAGAGAGTACGGCCAACTCTGGGCACTCTTAGGTCACTTAGGGACTCTAGGGTCACCAAAGTGTCACCATGAAGACAACTCTCAACACCTCATGAAGCCAATGCTGCCAGACTGCTGGTTTCTCCTTTTCTGTGTGACTTCCTCCAGAAATAGAAGCTGCAGTTAGCTCCTGTGCCTTTTCATTGGGCTTTTCAATTTTCCCATAGTTATGTCATATAGGAGACTCCTAAGATCTTTGGAAAGGTTCTCACACTCAAACATGATTTCGGCTCTCTGGACACACTATACATTCTGCTTATAAAGTCCCAGAGAATGGAGGGATTTGCTTCTTTTGTCATGACTAGATTCAGTAGTCTATAACCCATTCCACGTGGTGCTGAGTGCCCTCAGGTCCATGTTGTCCAAATGGTGCCAGGGATGGGTTTTGCTTTCTTGTTTTTTGTTTTGTTTGGCTTTACCTACGCTAACTTGCTGTGGAGACTGAAAAAAGGATGACAAACATTTAAAAACAGAAAGATCAACAACCTTTGGCGATTTTCTGAGAGGAAAATTTCACTTTTCTTATCTTGGCTGTGAAACAAGAGATAGTGACACATCATTTGCCTGTTTTAAAGACAGACCCTCCAGGCTGAATGACTTCTCTGGGACATTAAAGCAGCCATGCTTTATAGACAATAGCCATGGCATTTATCTGTTTTTTTTTTTTGGAGGGAGGTGTTTGTTTGTGGGGGGTTGATGAGAAACTGAAAAATTGTCATTTATGACAACACATTGGAAGTATAAAACACAAACAGTTTATGCATCATGATGTATCTATAATTTTAGACTTAGGATACTGTGGCAGTGAGATCATGAAGTAAAATCTCATCTCACGAAAACCAAAATAAAAACATATAAAATTTATTTTCATAAAAGAACCACTTTATCACAATGGGATTTAAGTAATTTTAGTCAGTTTAGTACAGAGCACCAGGTATCTTAGTGTTCTGTTAGTCAGTGACGGCAGTTTCACAGCCCAGGAGGTCTGACTCTCTGGAACACTGGTTATGACCATCCATGAACGTGGTGCTTAAGAAAGCAAACCTCACGTGATTTTTTTTTTTAATGTCTTGACTAGCTAGCCATCACCATACCATCAGTGAAATGACCACACCCTCTTTCTGTTTATTGGTGACTCAAGCTGATTCTTCAGAAAAAGAGAAGGCAAACAAAACGAACTGGCATGCATCCAAGACTGTCCAGAGAGGGCAGACTCTGGTGGGGGTGGGGGGCATGCATCTAAGGCTGTCCAGAGAGGGCAGACTCTGGTGGGGGTGGGGGGCATGCAAGGCTGTCCAGAGAGGGCAGACTCTGGTGGGGGTGGGGGGCATGCAAGGCTGTCCAGAGAGGGCAGACTCTGGTGGGGGTGGGGGGCATGCAAGGCTGTCCAGAGAGGGCAGACTCTGGTGACGGGTGGGTGCATCCAAGGCTGTCCAGAGAGGGCAGACTCTGGTGAGGGGTGGGTGCATCCAAGGCTGTCCAGAGAGGGCAGACTCTGGTGAGGGGTGGGTGCATCCAAGGCTGTCCAGAGAGGGCAGACTCTGGTGGGGGTGGGTGCATCCAAGGCTGTCCAGAGAGGGCAGACTCTGGTGGGGGTGGGGGGCATGCAAGGCTGTCCAGAGAGGGCAGACTCTGGTGGGGGTGGGTGCATCCAAGGCTGTCCAGAGAGGGCAGACTCTGGTGAGGGATCATTAGCACACATTCCATAAAGGGGAAAACAGGTTCACTTCACTTATTCCGTGAGGTCAAGACAGAACGCAACAAATAGCCTTCCTTTGTTTTATTCAAGCTTCCTTGGACTTGGAGAGCTTAGAATGAAATGGCTAAAATAACCTGGTGCACGGGGCTGGACTTGCCTGCCCCTGTTATGTGAGACTGACTGCTCAATGGATGTGCCATCCGCCTTTCTCTGGCCGAGGGGCACTGGAAACTTGACGGCGAAGCAGTGACAGAGGACAGGAGAGGTGGACAAGGCGCTCCAGCTGGAGGCCCTGCTCTTTAACTTTATGCCCAGCTCCATAATTGTGCTTTCAAGTGTAATTCTAGCTGCCAATTTACACTTTGCCAGAGTTAAAACTTATTTTTAGATTCATTTCCATGAAAAATGTGCACTTTGCTCTTGATGGATAGATATGTTTTGATGGTTGATGCAGGATTGCCCAGTCAGGGCTTGCTTCAGTTGAAGGTGAAAATGGAAGAGGAAAAAAAAAAAAAGAAATATATACTCTGGCAGATGACTGTATTTCCTTTTATTGCATTCATTATCTAATAACAATAATACTCATTGGCAAGAAATATATTTACACTAACAAATTAAATTTAATCACAGGTATATTTTTCAGATGGTCAGAAAACAATGGGCCACTTATATATAGTTTGCTTTGAATGCCTCTGAAAACAAAGAGTAAGGAATGGCATTTGAAACAGCAGACACTAACCAAGCACCAGAGAATAGATCAGATGTGGCACTATTGTCTCTTCCATGCAAACAATCAGACCGCAGAACATACAAATTAACATTTCAGGTATTATGCTACCCATACTCACCAGACTCAAATGGTTTGCAAACCACTTCTTTCCCTTTAGCAATATATAGCGAAAGATCAAAACAAATAGCATCTTACGTGACACCAATTTTATGCTCCTTCTGGTTTCCAGCTGCCTAGTCTTGTCAGTGATATGTAGTAGATGTACGAGTGGCTTCATCAAAACATCATTGAAAAAATGCAGAATCAGTAGTTATGACATTAAATAATACTGGGGAGGGTATAGTACACACACTTAGAGATTTTATTAATCGCTGTTTGAACCTAATGTTGCTGGGAGGTGTTATTTAGCATGACAATCACTTTGGAGGTGTTATCTAGCTGATTTTTTTGTAAAGATAATTTAAGGTTTTTTTTTGCTAATTATTATTTCATGAATGAATACTTAAATCCTTAGCAAGAAATTTATGTGTGCATCAAACAGCTGAAGGTAATGGATGTACATGCCTTCCAAAGACATATACTCATAGCTCATTGTGTTATTTTGATGGCAACCAAAATGCCATTGCAGGCTGATGGCATAGGAAGTAAATAGTGGTCACATGACAGAAGTACTTGTCACCAGAGAGCCAGTAGTTAGTGACATAAGCATCAAGGCTACTGCAGACCTCATCATAGAGGAGAGAGAGCTGACACCCAGGAACACACAGTGCAATTTCTAGCAAGGAAGCTGTGGTCTGCAATGGGAAATGCCCAAAGCTGCATATCTTCTGATTCCTAACTCTAAAAAAAGTGCAATCTGGACATCAAAGCATTAACCAAACCTTTGAGGAAAATTTATCTTACTAAAATATGATACCAAAGATCTAATAAATCAGTTTTACCAAAATATATAAACATTTAGAAGCGTAAGTGCATTTAGTAGGATACTTACATTAAAATAAAAAAACTTCTTAAAAGCTACGAGCCATTCAATGTTTACACAACACAAGAAGTGGAGATAAGGCTATGATTGCAGCCCAGGGTCCTAACTATCATCACTGTAGTCCATGGATAGTGTATTTTTATGCCACGTGCTTATGGTATATATGTGTGTGTAAGAGTGGGGACATAGTCACACGGTTCTGACACCTACAAGTGGCATGCACACAGCTCAGAATTTGTGGCTCGCTCTCTTATTCCTTATGTCTTGCACGATGCTGGATCCCTAATGGTCTGAGGTTGATGGGGTCAGGGCTAGGAAGCATGGAGTCTCTCTCGCTCCCTACTCTGAGGATACAGAAACAGGTCCAGGTGCTTACATGTGTGAGTCTTCAGTAACATTCGCCGACAATCCCACACAGACAGCCTTGCCCAAACAGGTGACAGGACCCTAGGCCTCCCATGATGGAACTGCCGTCACTTAGCCGGGCAGTTAACTGTGTAGGCTTTTCCCTTTTCCTCTAGCTGCTCAGCCTAACTTTTTCCAAGTCATGAAAACGTGTTTTCTCTGGTGTTATCCCTGCTCCCCTCCTCTGATGTTGTAGCTCAAAACTAAATTTCATGGGACTTTAAATATTCCAGACAAATGCAAACAAAGACAGCCGGCACACTTGGTCCCACATTAAGGGCCGAATCAGTGAGACAGATTTCCTGCAATGCTGTTTTCTATTGAGTCTGTCCCCTTCTCTGTCCTATCACAACGAGGACGACTTTGGAAGAAAGCATGGATGCTTTACTCCTGGGCTTCACCTGCACAAGCTCACCTTTAGAACTGGACACAGGTAACCCTGACTCATAAGTAAGAAAACACACAAAAGTCAGTTCTGCCGTTCCCTAACTACTTTTCATTCAGGTTGTCTTAGTGTGGAAGCCTGTGACTTGCCTGGCCCCCAGAGTGAGATCTTTCTTATCACCAGCTCCGTGTTAATTCTGAAACACAAGAGGGAAATGTGCATCCAATGGATAGAAGTTTCTTTTCGAATCATCTGTCCTCCCCTCTTCCAGAATCATCGCAAACATCCTTGCTAAATGTTGATGGCCCTCCTCAAATTTCTCTCACCTTTCAAGTTTATAAACGACTTAGAACAGCTGTATAAATGCATTTGTCTACTTCTTATATACTTTTCAGGCACAAGTTAATCCTATTGGACAAAGATCCTAGTTGAGAATTTTTTATCTTCAGTACAGCCCATAGAGACTCGGGCTAACTCCGAGCTGTGGGCATTCTTGCAGCTTAGGCCTGAGGTGTTCACGATTCTCAGGTACATACCCTCTGGCGTGGAGAGCGGCAGGAGTCCCCACTTCTCTGCCACTTCATTTCCTAAAACAAAGGAACACAAGGTAGGTATGCCCGCTTGGTGCCTGTTGGAAGCTGGGTTTGGCATCAGCTCCTGTCATACTGGAGTCAAACTGCTGTGGTGTTTTAAAAGTCTACACTAGGTGGCAAGTGGGAAGTCCGTGTGAACGCCAGCTCAAGGGCGACAGAGCCCCTGAGAAGAGCTTTGAGGTCATGGTGGTGAAGGCGGAGCCCTGCAGTGGATAAAGCATGGCTCCCACTCTAACAGAACTCCCTTGACTTCGGGGAGGAAGGGGATGATTACACGCATGCGCACCACTGAAAAGGAGTTGGCCTTGGCGTAGCAACACGCCACGGTGTTCTTTACTGGAACCCTGACCCGGAGCATGTGCCTATTCTACCCACGGCAGCGCCTCGCCAGGTATCCCCATGCCCAAACATCACCTGTACCCCAAAACTCTTCCCGTGACTGTTGAGTACTTCATTGGACTATAGTTCATGGTCAGCAGACATTCCCTTTTTGTTCATTTGTTGATCATTTAAAAACCTTCCAAAATCTTTAATGTCCACAAAGCGACAATTCTCTGTTAAATTAATTGAATAAACCCAGAAAACTACAGTATTAAAGAAGGAATTGTGCAAGACAGCGGAAACTCAATTATTATCATGCACCACAGTCAATAATAAAACTAGACGGGAAAATAATTGCTCACAAGATCTGAGGGCCTTCTCTTTGCTGTCACACACACCAGCCAGCATATGCCCATCCTTTGCTGAGCAACAGAGGAATCAAGAGCCTTTTACAATTTCACCAGTTTTTAGTAGCAACGTTAAAGGAACTCATTTTGGTCTAAGATTGTGATAATTTAACTTAAAAATCAAAATGGTCGAAATCTAAACTAAATGATGTAATGAGAATAAATTTGATTTCTAACTATGATATAAATGCGGATCCAAGCGCTGAAGTGTTCATAAAGTTGCAGTAAGAATGGTGTATTTAAGAAATGCAATATAACAGATCATAAGGTACAGGCAGAGACAGTCTATAGACACTTCAAATATATACATTTTCAATTTCAAATCATCAAAGTGTAAACACGACTGAAAATGACCGTCCTTCTGTTTTCGCTCTTATAAATGAACACAAAGAAGCTTCCAGTGCAATCCAGGTTTGTTTTTCCTCAAAAGAAAAGAAAACCAGGTAAAATTTACAATAGCAAGCATTAGTATTGCCTGATTTTTGCTAGTCTTCTGGTCTTAGGAAATGTTTGCTGAGTCTCTTGGTTTCTCACCACAATGAGTGGCCAAGCATCAGACATCCGAAGACATAAACAGGCACCCAGTACTTGACCCCAAACAAGAACCACGAAGCAGGTCTGGCGACTCCGAACACACAGCTACTTCTGTATCATGTTTAGGACTGGTATGTCTGTTTCGGAAAGACCAAAACCTAACAAGAATGCTGTGGGCCAGAAAAAGGAGCAGGCCCTGGGAGAAAGAACGGGATTAAGTTTCTAGCTCAGATAATTTCAGAATTTATATGCTTCAAAAATAACAATAAAAAGTCACAACGTTACAGTTCAAAGTGAGGTCACAGAGGCAGCAGAGCCGCAGCCTCACAGACGCCTGGGATAACTCTACAGCCTGATGCAGACTCTGTGCATCCAGAGGAGACATGCACGGGGCTGTGGGCGGAAGGGCCTGGTGGAATGAAGGAAGTAAAATAGGTGCCAAGGATTCGTGTAGCCTCCAGCCTCACTTGAAATTTGTTCACTGTAAAGTAGGCAACGTCAGCTTTGTAGGGTCAATGCAGCAGCGAGAGTTAGATACGGAAGCCAAAAAGCAAAACTAAAGGCAAGCAAACAAATAAAACCCTCACGGTTTGAAATGTCTCAAGACCAGCTTGTTTTCTCCTCTTCCTGCCCAACTCTCCTGAGTTAGCTTGGGTTCTTAAAATACTGGAATCCTTAATACTGGACTTAAGGATAAGATCTTACACTGCTAGCGTCCACCCCATGCCTTACACACATCTGGGAAGCTCTAGAATTGCTTAGAAAAGTCATTCCAAATGTCTCTGAAATGTAACCGACAGCTGTCCTTCACAGGAAAGAATCTTGTGTGCTCAAAAAAAAAAAAAAAAGTTCCTGGTTGACTGTTACTCAAATCTCAATCTCCAACCAGTATTTCTAGTTTTAAGTTCTTAAAAGTGCATTTGTTCAAACACTAACTGAGCCCACTTGGGATATTCTGAGTAGAAAAGACCTGACAAGTCCCTGACTGTGTCAGAGGCAGGCTGAAGACAGCCAGAATGTGTCTCAAGAGAGGAAACCTGAAAACATTCTTTCCTTAAAATCAATTTCCTGTCCAATCTGTCGGGAGGGAGGGGCTGTATTGTTTGTCAGGGCCACCGCACCCTGAGCTCGCTGGGCTGGCCAACACACCAGCGGGTCTCAAAACCCATGGCTGCACCAGGCTCTGATATTCTGTTCTTTGTTGGGCGATTCATGAAGGAAAATGCTGCCCCTGCCCCCCGCAAGCCCCTTAGGACACCCACATCTGGGTTCTTAAGCCTTTTTCATTTCTTCTAGAGTTAACAAATAACTACTATTTTCTCTCTTTCTCTGATTCCAGCAAATGGAACAACACTTGCTCTTTCTCTCATCTGGTAATTATGAGCTGGGCACCCACATTCCCACAACGGGACTGACTTCTAACATCGGAATTGAAGGGAGCCTCGTTTACACACTGTATTAGGATCTGCAACCCAGGAGACAGCAGCTCCCTCGTCTCAAGGCAGGCGTCCTCTGCACACAAACAGCCATAGCTACTATCTCAGTTTTAGGGGCTCTCCCTGCAAACTCTGGGTAGTCCACTCACAAGGCCAGAGTGAATCCTGCTCTCACTGGCTGGATCAGGCTGGCTCTCTATGGCACGATACACTCAGCACAGCGCAGAATGTTGGCTAAGTAGAAGAGAAAAATGAGATTTCTGGTTTGTAATTAATCAATAAATTAATAAACCAAAGGTGGCTTGGGGTTATTATGTTAGAGTTAGGAGTGAATCCAACACACAGTATTTTTTAAACTGCCTACAATGGCATTATCCCCATCAGTTTCTTCTTCATTCTCTGCAGGAGAAGGGGGACAGGAAGGGGAGGGACTTCCCTCAAACTTCCCCACGGGATTACTGCTCAGTGTTGGGCTCTGTCGTGGATGTCATCTTTTCTGATTTTTTGGACTTCCTCTGCATTTGTTCTTGTTCCCTTCTCCTCAGTTTTTCTCTCTGTTTTTCCATTTTCTCGTGGGCCTTCCGAGCCTTCTCTAGAGACATCTTCATTTCCTTCAGTTTTTTTTTAACCAGTGCCCGGTCCTGGGATGACGTCATCCCAAGAGCCTACAAAGGAAGCACACGTACAAACTGAATCTGAAAAACTGCTGACCTCTTTGCTTATGATGAGGAAAACATCATACTATGCTTAATCTCATGACCTTAGTTAAACACGGGAGGAGGAGGTCAGAGCGGAGGAAAGGCAGGCTATTCTTGACAAATTCTGTGTGCGAGGAGGGTCTGAGCTTTGTCCTTTGAAGTTCTTTGCAAAACACACTCTAGAAGTCATTAATAAAATGTTTTTCAAATTGGTGACTAATGAGTGAATAAATGAAAAGGGCACGATCCTGCTTCAACCTTCCGCTAAAGTCATCAATATCTTCCAAGGGAAGCGGAGAGCACCTGCCGTCACAGAAGGCTCCAAGAAGGGCAGGAGGAAGCGAAATGGCCTCTCTATTGCCAATGTAGTTATTTACACCCAGAACCAAAAATGTCTTTGAGACCAGCATGCCCATCTCTCTTCCCAAAGGCAGACCTATAGAGGAAGCCCAATTAAAACTATGAGGTTGCCGGATGAGTTTAGAATTCAGAATCAGGGAAGATGGCTGTGTACTTGAAATGTTCCATGACCTTCAGCATCAACAGCAGGATGCATCTGCCTCCCCAACAGGGACAGCCTTGTCGATGGGGCCTTCATATTCACGAGCTATTGATTGATCTCTAACCTTTTCAAAGACTGCCAAGAGACACTCATCAACCTCGCAGGAGCCTGAAGCAGTGGGGAGGGGTGTGTGGAACTGGCCTGTACCCTCCTCTTACCCTTTCTCCATAGGGTTGGGCACCACCTCAGTCTTTAAGAGAGATGGGCTGGATGAGTGGAAATGAAGGTGCAATGGAGGTGGGAGGGAGGGACGGCTTGCATATACTTGAGGGAGAAAGTTGGGGCCTTCATTTCAGTTGTCAGGTAGTAGGTAGGAGACGGGGCGTGAGAAGAAATGAAGAAAGAAAGATTCGCACTGGCCATTACTAAAAGTTAACAGTAGGATGGGAAGTGAGTAGTGCTAATACAGAGGTCCTGTGTTGCCATGGGAAGCAAAGGAAGGGTCCCTAACCCTCTTGGTCAGCAGCCTATCCTGAGTCAGAACCCCTGATGAACTTCCTCAGGCTTCATTTCCTACTGAGAAACAATTCAGTATCTTTTCTGCTCAGTACTAACAAAAATTACCACATGGATATGTAGAACACTCTCAGCTAATGAAAGTGTCAGGTGTTACAAGTCATACACACAACTGGTAACTTAGCACAGACAGAGAATCTTTACCTTCAGTTTATTGCCATCCAGCTGCAGGAGCTGCTCCCCAGTGATGTTCTGGGCACTGAATTCAGACACATACTGGTCCAGGTTTAGGCTCATTAACCAGTGAGAAACCTGCTGCACGCTCCACTCATGAATGGCCCGATTCAGACTCAGACTGTGTTTGGGAGATTGTCCATCATCAAGGATCTGAGGTAGGAATGTATGCAGTATTGTTAAATGACCAAAACACCATGGCTCATAGTATGCTATCTCAAGCTACAAGAGCCATATTTATTTATAAATCATAAAATGATAATAGTTCTACTTTTGTTAAGAAAAACTTGTCTATTACCTAGCAATTCTGGTAGATGGAAAATTAATAATATTCCACAAATAAAGCACCACTACAAATGAAGAAAGTTAAAAATCGAAAAAGTGCACACTAACACTGATGATTTTATAATACATAAGTCTGGAGATATTATCAGAGGTAGAAAATAAATGTTTTATATATCTCTATATTCAATACAACACTTTAAATTTATTCTGTTAGAAGACACTAAAGTTACATTAAAAACACATTAAAAATATTGTCTCCTTCACTTTATAGAAAAAGGTCGTAAAGTCCTCAAGCCTCCTTAGGGAGATTTCACAACCATCACTTCATCTGAGCGAGAAGCAAACCTGGAAGGATGGTAGGGCACTAACATCCACAATTAATTTTAAGACAGGAGAAACCTAAGGCAGAGAGCTTCCATGATCATTTTTAGACAAGGCATTAGTAAGTGGCGTTGTTTAACAAGAGGCTCATTGCAAATTTCAGGCTCTGTCTTCTGTCCACTATCCCCTTTATTTGTGCAGAGGCAGGAGAGTGCCTAGAACCACTAAGTTGAGAGAAGATGAAGTCATGATAGGGTTCAGAGGAAAGACAGGAGTTTCCCTGGAGAGTTACTTGAAGAGTAGAGAAGAGAGGAGGGTGTAAGCTGAGGGGGAGGCAGTGGATGCAGGAAAGAATGGAGCTTGTCAGCTGATGGCTATGGGAGATAAATGAGGGGCCCTGGAGGGGGACTCTGCCTCTTGATCCAGGAACACCTCTTACTAAGACGTAAGGAAGTGCGATCTTTCCGTCCTCACACAGTGTTCTTGTAGTGTTGTAAGGAGAAAAAAAGCAAGTTCAAACCAGACAAGGCACCACACACCCCACAGATAGCTCACCTCATCATCTATCATATCCAGGCTCTGGGTGAGCAGCAACAAAAGAACCAAGAAGAAGAGTGTTACAGAAATGGGACACACAACATCCACAGTGCCCTCTTTATTACATCAAAAAAGCCCGCTAGAAAAACATGATCAGAAAAGTTTAAAAGGAAAAAATGGAGTCTTGTTGCATAAAACTCATGTTATAAAGAAATAAGACCAACTGTTTTACATGTAAGAGGAAACACATTTTAGTTACATTATTTCCTGCCTCACCCCCGACTCTCGCCAGTTTTTAACCAGGCAATCCCAGCATAGTTTTCTGCTGTTCTCTGCATATATATTTCCTGGTAATTCTTAGCAAGGCTAATCCGCACTGTGGCATCTGGATAGACGGGTCTAACTCTATTTTCTTTCCGGAACTGTGCCTAATGGTTGCAATGATTCAACTGGACATATCACGTTCAGAGGACTGTCAAGAGCCTGGGGGAAGGGGCAACTCTGGATGAGGGAAGCAAGAATGGATAATCAACAGCCTCCGAGGAGAGGTAAACTGCTATCTAGTCTTGTTCTCAATGCCTAGACTCCCTACCACATGTTCACGTACATAACGGGAGGGCTAGGAAGCTTCAAAGGGCTCAGAAACTAAACTTTTCTTTAATGTTGAAGAAGAGTCGGGTGGAATCATGAGGACCTTATGCTAAACATAAAACTTCAGTGCTGATCATTCCTATGCTAAATCTACCATCAAATATCTCCCCACGGTGGGAAATGGACGGAATGGGTCATGAAAACTCAGCTCTGCCATGGTGCCTCTCCAGTACCTCATCTGAGGACAGTGCCAGGGACTGGGAGAGCCCTGGTGTCTTGGGTTCTGCTCCTAAGCCACTCAGGTCTGCCGAGCTGGTACTACTTGGACTGAAGTCATCATTAAAGGTGAAGTTCTGTAAGAACAAAGAAAACAGTGTGATGGGAACGCACAGAGTGAGCTAGAGGCAGGCGTGCTTCCAAGCCCTCATCTGCTTCACTTCTGTCAATTTTCTTCAGAGGAGACTTGACTTTGGTTTGGCGATGATGGCCTTCAAGTGGGCACAAGCAGAGGATGCTGTACCTTTTGAGACAAACTGGAAACTCCAGGCACTTTCTCCATCTGATGCAGGGATAGGTGTTGTAGAGAAATGATTTTTCAGTTTCTCTCCAAGGGTACAGAATTCATTATCCTCTGTAACAGCTCAGAGGAGTGATATTAATAAGCCCATCTGCTTTGACCCTAATTTGTGATGAGGAACAGAGCAAGTAGAAAAACAAGATGCTGTGCAGAGGCTGAGTTATCAGGAACAGATGGCAACTCATATCAGGAAGGTAGTTGGAGCACCCCTGGGAAAGACGGCGTGGGGCTGGCTGTGATAAATCCTGTGAGAAGTGACAGGTCCCCTCGGGGATGCACCCTTCAGACACAACACTAGTTACATGTTGGAATATAAGCCAAAGGGACTGCATGGGATAGACCCCAAGTCTGCATCAGCTCCTGGGGTTCGGGAGGTGGAGTGCAGGAAATCATTCCCCAGAAGTCCCATAACATGCTTAGCAGATGCTAAAACAACTGGACGATGGCCACAGAGCCTCAGTGGTGAAAACACTGTGTACTGAAACTCTCTTTAGTGTGAGATAATGTTAGATTCACTCAAGTGAAATTTAAGTCTCAGAACAACACAAAAATTCCAAAGGGTTGATTATGACCAAAACGTCTTTGCTACTTGTAGAATGACTGAATTCTCAGGAACTCAAGTGACTACCCAACACCATTTTCCTCCATACTACACTTCTCTAGGAACTGGACTGTTATTTCCACCAGGTTCCTTTGCTTTACTGAGAAGGAATACCATGCCAGAGACTGAAGAGTTTAGTACCAGACCAACTCCAAGATTTGATAAATCTTCCAAAAAGAGTTGAGGCTGGTAGAACATACAAGCTGTAAGGTATTACACACAAAACATTACCCTTGTATTACCATGGGAGATGCAATCCTCTAGCCCCTCACTCAGAACATTTTGAGCTGATGAACTCAAGGAAAGAAATAATCAAACAAGATTAATCACATATTTCTGTTTGGGAAAGAAGAGTGAATACAAAAAGAAGAAGCCGGAAGAACTCCAAGGTTAGCCACTGTATATGCTTCAGTAAAACGTTAGATAAGGTTTGCAGTGTCATGCTGGAAACAACCATCAAGCATTTTAAATGCATCACACCTATGCATATATTTTCTAATTCTGCTAATGATAAAGAACTTTGGCGACAGAATTAGAACAGGAGCTTTGCGAGTTCTACAAAACGTAGCTTCAATACAAAAAGTAAGATGCTATATGCCAGTGGTTTTTGTTGGTTCCTTCTGTTTGTTTCTCTTAAATGTATTGAACACAGTCAGTTCCAAATTTATCTGTTTTCCAGTAAATCTTGACGAGCACAGTGAAAGAGTTTCATAATGCAAATTAAAGAAGAACACTTAGTAAACATCTAGGACACTGTTTCATCATTTGAATGCTCCTTTCCCAGCATGGCTTAACTGTCAAACTGAGATTTAACAGCGGTAAGTGAAATGACAGGCAAGTGAAGAGAAACACACGCTAGAATGGACAGTGTTGAAAAGGGTGCTGGTTAGGTAAGGCATTTCTCCCCACAAAGGAAAAACCATGCATGCCTGTGGCAGTGTTAGCACATTGGTTCCTGAGACCCAGGGTGTACACAAAGGTTGAGAAGGCCTTCCAAAAATTGAGAGGAGATAGGAATGGGGGCTTTCTTGTCAGCTTTTTTAGTCCAGTTGTCTACCTTGGACCCTGTTTTATCTGAAATTAGGGTCTCAGGAGAAGGCGGAATGGGACTCGGAACTGAAGGCAGGTTCCTGAAGGAATAGGATCCTTTCCGACTTTCAGTAAACCATGAGAAAGGCATGCAAGGAGAGCGAGGAGTGGCCTGAGCCGCGGGGGGAGGCTTGGCTTTCCAGTTCTCCAACTTGCTTCTGAAGACCCTGCAGTGTGAAAGAATGACCACGTTAGACAGAGAATTGGCAAAATTCATACTGACCCCAATTCCAAAGAGACTCTCTGCACAGGTAAAAACTGAGAAACTGTTCTATTTAGGATAGTAAAAATGGAACTATTTGGGCAATAGCATTAACTTTAATACTTTCCTTTTTGCATTTTAATGGAAGCAATTGTTTTGAACATTGTTTTGAACTGCTATTTCCATAGCAAACTTGTACTAAATGTGCCTTTGTAAGAATGCACGAATGAATTAAAATCAGAGTGGCAGTCTTTCAGAGACTGCTTCTAAGACAGTCATCAGGAGAGTGGCACTAGCCCATAAGCATCTTTCTTCCTACCTACCTCTGGATTCATCTCCCTGTGTCTATGACTGAAAGATTTAGTGATTTGGAAATTTTGGAGCATGTGTTATGTTAAGCAGAACATGAAGGTTTTTTTTGTTTTGTTTTGTTTTTTGTTTTTTGTTTTTTTTTTATCGAAAGCTTAGTCTCTTTTCACAGGAGGAGTATAGGGCCTGAAGTCATCATGGATTGCTTGGAAACTGAAAGCCTAACACCTCCTGAGCGTGTGGCCTCAGGCCTTCTCTGTCCCTTTGTCCCCATCTATACAAAGCAAGTATTTTGATGTATCTCACATGTGATTTCTATGAATTAAGTAGGTTAATATTTGTTAAAGAGCCATGAAAGTCACTTAAGGTCTAGAAATAGTTAAAGGCTCAAAGGCAGTTGAAAAACAGTTTTTCTTTTTTAAACTTAGTATAGGTACTATCATATTTGTATTCATCTACTTGTGCAGAAGCTAGAGAAGAAAATGCCTGCGTGCATTTGGAAGAGGTGAAGCTCAGTATCACTGAACAAATGACATTGTATGGAGCCAATTTCTGGGTAATTGCTGATATTATGACAACAGGAATCCCTTCAATTGAAAATGCCTTGATACCATAGACTTCAGATGCTTTCTAATCCTAGTTGATGCTGGTTCTCAATCCCTTTGGACCCCATTTCAAGCACATTTTGAAATAGAATTCAAATTGATATAGACAGAATCAAGTCTTAAACCTTCGGGCTTATCTCCAAATTGTATACAAGAACCAAAAGCAGCAATCCTCATGCAAGCATCCTGGAGACTGTAGGTGATAAACAGACGCAAAAGGTTGCAAAAATAGCTATGAGAACAGAAACCCTGTGATGCTTTGGAAAAACTTACACAGCAGGATGAGCAAATGATGTAGGTGGTTCTTCTTTCTATGTGGTGCTTTCATTGGTTAATTAATAAAAAAAAAACTGCTTGGCCTGATAGGTCAGAACATAGGTGGGTGGAATAGACAGAGTAGAATGTTGGGAAGAAGACAATGAGGCAGACACCATAGCTCTCCTCTCTGAGATGGATGCAAGTTAAGATCTTTCCTGGTAAGCCACCACATCGTGGTGCTACACAGATTATTAATGGGTTAATCAAGATGTGAGAGTTATCCAGTAAGAGGTTAGAGCTAATGGGCCAAGGCAGTGTTTAAAAGAAAACAATTTGTGTGCTGTTATTTTGGGTATAAAGCTAGCCGTGCGGGAGCAGGACGGTAACGCAGCCCACCGCTCCTCACAACAGGCAAATACAATTGATGGTCATATACAAGAATCCAGAAGACATGGTCATGTTATAATGTCTTTGTGTGTGTGGGGGTGTCTTAAGAATAACAGAAATCAAGGTGAGACAGGCTGACCTTGAACCCCATCTTAAAGCTTAAACTAAATGGCAATCTTGTATTCTTAATCTAGTTACTCATTATCACCAGACAGCAGAGTCCAGCAGCTGAGCCAGAGTGGCCCTGTGCTCTTCATGGGCACTTTTCACTCTTTGCCATGGACCAACTAAAGCTGGTACAGCTGCTAGAGTCCACAACTCAGAAGAGGAGAGAAGTTGGTGTGGCGTCAGTATGTTAACACAGGTCTGAGCTGACTCTTTAAATAGCCCCATTTTCACTTATGATTATCTCGAATGCAAGTGCAACACAAGTCATTACAGACAGGAAACATCAGTGATCACGTACGTAAAATCGCTTCCTGGCACTTTGAGTCCTCGAAGCTTTCATACCCCCGTCTCTAGTGAGGTGAAGGATTCTGGAAACATAATTCTGGATGGCAATAAAGCAAATGGACAGATGTCTGCCTCCCTTCTGGGAGAGAGGGAGAAAGCTTATCTCCATAAGGCAAACAATCTCAGTTAAAGTGTAAACAAATACTTCTAGGAGGGCAATAAGATTAGACCCAAGCTTTATCTCAGCAATAAACTCTTCCCATCCCCTTCAAATGTGGCCCTGTGCTACCTGGGAGGGTAGCTCTTTGGGGCTCTCACTTAACTTTTAGGGCGTGTCTTCAACTACGCCCCTACATTTTAGTAAAAATGCCCATAATACTGTGTGCAGAAATATCTCTGTAGTTCCACACCTCAGAGACCGGACACAGGAAGGAAAAGATGGTCCTGAAGGTCACGGAACTGACTTTGGTCACTAGATAGCCGCCCTCTGGGAGTTTGCGGGGAAGCTATGTGACAAAGGGCAGCATGACACCTCATCTTACTCCCATAGCAATCGTCTTTGTAGCTGTGGTTCTAGATCACCACCACTACCTTAAGGGCATGAAAGGGAAGGGGGTGAGAATGCTGCCACTCACTGGCTTCATTTGGAAGGGACTTTAGGGAATCTCAACCTGGAGCAAGCAACAGCTGAAAACAATCTGAAAATCCCCGGGAAATATTAAATACTAATAATGAGCATGCATATTTGCATATAGTATTGAGGATGGGCTCCAGGCCATGCTGTTCTTATAGTGAACAAGGTCAAGGAACCCCAGACTCAGACAGAGGCTCTCTTTCTGCAGCCTTACACACAAAGATAATGGAAAGTTGGGGAAAGAGTTGGCAGGAAGCAATGACACCCACTTCCAGGGTAACAAGGATTGTCTCACAGCTAAAATCTGGAAGATTCTGGACTTTTGTTTTGTTTTGCCCTTTCAGCTCTCTGTGAGTCTGGCTGTGCCCTGTTGTGTCTATCTTCTGGTCTCATTATTAATTACCTATAGCTTTAAAATCCACGACTGTGTAACTAATTCCTGTATGTAACCTTTCTTTATTCTCAAAGAAAAGAACTCACTTCCATTTGCCTGGACCTAGAATAACAGAATATGCATTAAGACACCCAATACTCTATTCCGTTAAAATTATAGATGCAACCGTCTACCAGGCATCTTCACTAAAGCAAACACCAATTTTGTCCTGGATAAATTGAACTCTTGAGCCTATGAAGGAGCAGAAAGGGCTTGGTAGCTTGAGTTCTGCTTTGGCTGCCTCTTATTCTCCGTCTTACTTTGTGGAGAAAATGTTCAGAACAATACAGTATCCCACCTTCTTCCCTCTACACCTCCTCCCTTCCTTTTTTCTTCCCTCTTTCTTTCCCTTTCTTCCTCTCTCTTCTAAGTCAAGAGTAGTAGAGTGGATAATTAATGGACCCGAATATGACTTCCAGAGGGTCTAAGGAGCTACATTTTTACACTTCCTTCATCTATGGTAGTTTATACACCAAAAGCTTATCATTAAGAAAAAAAAAATCAGAGAATCAGAAGTCCTTGTCATTGTACTTCCTTACATGTTTTATTTTAGGTACTAGAAGAAATAATTGTCAACAAATTTAATTTTCATAAGCTAAAGATGTCATTGGACTAACCTTTCCTGGTAGTCAAATGGTTTGTGGCTAATAACTTTCTTAACTTTCTATTTAACTCATTTACATATACTCTGGAACCCATTTATCCTGGGGTTGGTACCCTAAAAATCAGCTTTTTAAGTTAAATACCCACAGCGATATTTGTTATTTTAACTCTGCAAATACGGTATGTTAACTACTCAGAAACTAGTAAGATATCATCAAAATATCATTTACAGTTCATAAACTGTCAGGCAGCAAGAGCATAAGGAGCCACGGAACTGTGTAGATTGCAACAGCTACAAGAGGAATGTATGTGAATGCCCACTCATCTAAGTCAGATGAAGTAATTTTGAGACGATCTAAAATCCACTGAAGAGACCGAGGCTGTGAGGCCAGACCCATCCACAGGGAACTTAGAGATGCTTCTGGGGAGCATTAGAAACATGTACCCATCTGGCACCCGGGCACTGTCACCCTGGACATCTGGCTGGACTTTCTGATCAGCAGCCAAGAGTCCCTCTTAGAGACACAGTAGACAGCTCGGCCCCAACTCCCAGGAGATGATCAAACCGTTCTCTCTCCTCTGCAGGCTTTCAGCTGAATAGCAAAAGGATAATAATGTAGATCCACACTCTCGAAACAGATGTTAATTTCTGGACAATAAATCCACCGCTTGGGTATTCAAGAAAAGTGTGCTATTCTAAATCTGAGCAAAGTGTGGCTTCTGGCTCTATTAAAATTCTATTTTCATTAATTTTTGTGATTGGGTTTTAACCAGAACCTTAGGCAGGCTAATCACACATTCTGCATCTGGCATACATGTTTAGAAATTTAAATTCACTTTAACGACCTGCACCTCTTTTTTTCTCCTTTTTTCCTTCCTCCGTCCCTCCCTTCCTGTGATGTATGTACATGAACATTTGTGTGTGTATGTGTGTATGCAGAGGCCAAAGGTTGACAATATCAGAAGTCTTTCTATGCCACTCCCACCTTCTCTTTTTTGAAGCAGGGGCTCTTGCTGACTGTGGAGCTCACCGTTGTATAGGCTGGTTAGCTAGGGAGCTCCAGAGGGCCACACAGTCCGTTCCTTCCGTGTTGGAGTCTTAGACCTGCACTGCCACAACCAGCTCTCACACGGGTGCCAGGGACCTAAACTTAGGTTCTCATGAATGTTGGCAAGTATTTTACCGATTGAGCCATCTCTCCAGCCCACCAAATCTCATTTTGGATTTGTGTTTTTATATATAAGGTCAGCCAAACTGACAAAAGCAACGATGCTTACTTAGA